AGACTTGATGACTTGAGATTCATCTTGTCACCCCATCTTGACTAGAAGGGGTTGGGGCCTCCTTGTCTTGCCCCCATCACATTGGCTCTCTCATCGAGCCTCCTTGACGATCCTGACACCTTGATGATTCCATACTTAGTTCCTTTAATGTCACCTTACTACTTTTTCCCATCTTCGTCTTGTTAGCTAGGCCCTTTTACCCACCTATACATGATGAAAGTTTGGCCTTTTCCCCCCACTAATTCTCCACACTTAGGCTTAGGGAGCTTGACATTGCACCTAACTTGTCATTTTGGTATCAAGCCCGTCTTGTCTGCTTGATACCTAGCTAACAAGTTGGTATCATGCACTGACACGGTAAAACACAACATCCAACTGCGACCAAGTGTAATCGCAGTCTGGTAATGCAGTAACAGGCAAGCTCTAATTGTCAACCCGGGGTCTAGATCTACTGCCTACTCCGTGAATATCTATTATCTAGCAAACTAAGTCGAGTGATTGTGAGTTTAACTAAAAGCAGTAAGAAAGCAGGAAATGGTTCAAAGTTCTTTAGCAAGGGAAGAGTCACTCGGGAATGAGTCCCCCTAGATCCTTAGTTAGGTCGAGGTTGTAATTACCCTGGGTTGATTAACTGGTGATTAAACTGCGGAAGATCCGACAATAGCTTGGAATCTCTTAAGCTGACCAAACCCTCTCAGTCCAACTACCCGGCAGACAACTAGTCTTCACTGGGATAGAAAGCTGAGGCTATGAACGCAGAACTCCACTACTGGAATTGGTTTCCAGTACAAAGAAGTAAATCGATTAACTCTCGCATAATCAATCTACCACTACCGATTGATGAAGCTCTACCAACCTAATCAGATTCTATCTATCTCAGGTTGCAGCATAAATCAAGGAAAGATGATCAGAATTCAATTGACTCATTGAATCATGCATCAATCGACTAAAATCAGATATTATAACAATCCTAAGTCATTACAATCAAGATCCCTAACACATGGAACTAGGGTTCTTCATACCCAAGTGAGAGAAGGTTCTACTCCATAGAGAGAGAGAGAGAGGAAAACAGAAAACAGAGTATTCATACTCATAAAGATGATGAAAATCTGCTCTGGGATGATGAAAATCTGCTCTGGGATGATGATCTTCACTCCTATGATGATCTCCAAGCTCGATTGATGAAACCCAGCTCCAAAATCACTTCCAGGATGTGTTCTTCGCACTTTCTCTCTCTAGGGCTCTGTTTCTTGTTCAAAAACTAGATTCCCTCTCCTTTTGCTCGAAATTGGGTTAAAACCCAGATTTCCGCAACCACACGGCCGTGTGGATTCCCAGTTTGCCCGTGTGGATGATAAAACGCGCCGTTTCAATTAATGGGTCTTCAGGCCTGCTGCATGGCTAGAGACACACGGCCGTGTGGATTTCCAAGCTGGCCGTGTGAGCTCCCTGGACTTTCCACACGGCCACATGGGGTCCCCTACACGGCCAGTGTGGCTTGCCCTTGCAAATTGGTGTCACACGGCCAAGTTACACGGCCGTGTGGGATTTTAGGTGTGCCCGTGTGGCTTCCTCAGCTTCTTGCCAAACGTCCAATCTTCGTCCAATCGACCCCGAACTCATTCCCAAACCTTCATTCACGTACTAGGACCTGAAATATCACAAACAAGAACAACCTAGAGTGAAATTGGCCTAAAACACTAGAAATAAGACTCAAACGGTACAAGAATGGTGGACAAAAACATGTGTAAATATCAAGTCATCAAATTCCCCCACACTTAACCGTTTGCTTGTCCCCAAGCAAACCAAGTCAGATACAAGGTAAACTCAACATATTTCAATTATACCAACATTGGGGACAAATCATAAAGGCACAGAACACGTGAATCATACTGGCTTTTCATCATTGACATAAGGACACATTAACAGCAACCTAGACAACCACCACAGAGGACATTCGAGTGCAGTAAAATCGGGTAAAGGATGAAGAATCCTTTCTGTTCACCAACCAACATAGACTTGACTCAACCACTTGACCAAGACAGTCATCGCATGCATCAACCTCAAGACATCAGAATCAAGACCGAGCCATCTAGGTCCTCACTGGGGTAAAGAGGATAAAGAATAAGGAAATGAATCACTCACTCTCGACCAGTGGGGTAAGGACCTTTGATGCGGAAAAAATGCGCATGCTTATTCTCTCAAATCTTAACATCTATTCACCATGATGGCAGCCTCTAAATGTTAGAGCTCACACAAGGGATGTCACCACTAACTAATCCGGAGGTCTTAGACACAGGTTCAAGTGACTGGTTAGGGTCTTGGAGATGGGGAAAATGCCTTTTAGGTGGTGGAAGTATTCATAGCACAAGGTTTCACAGTTCCAAACCCAACACAATCATAGTCAATCAAATCACTTACTTTCTTTATGCCATTCTGCATTACTCGAGTTCTTTAGAGCACAAGAGCGAAGGAGGTCACACTATTGTTGGTATTTCCAAGCCAGACTGCTAAGAAACACTACTTAACGAGCATGATTCAGATTTTTGGGTAGTGGCTCTCTTTTGCATTTATTCATTTTTTTCTTTTTCCTTTTTTTTTCATTTCTTGATAGAACCACCACCTCTGCACATTTTTCAAACACATGCCCAATTTTTTAAGAACTACCTCCAAACCTCACATTATTGTTAGCAGAAACAGCAGAGAACATGCAAAAACCACTCTGTGGAACCTTCTAAGAGATGCAAAAGGGTGATTTTCCATTGTAGACCGAAAGAAAGAAAAGTACACGGCTCAAAGGGCTGACGAGGGGCATGACACACCACGACAGTAAATTTGTTCGTGGGCTAATCCTATGCCTCCATCATCTTAGCTAGTGAAAACGTGAATGCTACACATCATGGAAGAGGGAACATGCCTCTTCCATGATGTGTAGCATTCACGTTTTCACTAGCTAAGATGATGGAGGCATAGGATTAGCCCACGAACAAATTTACTGATCTCACATGCCTACCTATATGCTCTATCTCTCATTCTGATTCCCTGAACTAGATGCATAAACGACTGTCAAGAGCAACTGATCGATCCAAGTCACAGTTGGTAAGCAAACAGTTGAAAAAAAACTAAACCCCTACACAATTCTAATGCATGTCTCAGTCATCATCATAGGTTGTCCTAGTTACAATCAAGTTGTCATGCAATAATTCGAAAGCCATTTGATTCACCAATCAAATCCACAGTGCCAATATGATCATGCAAACCTCAATACTTGGAGCCCTCAAATCTCGAGATTTGGACAGCGGACTAGGCTCCAAGCACACAAACTCATCTAGCAGTCAACAACATATAAACACCCCCCACACTTAAGCACGACATTGCCCTCAATGGAGCAGAGGGAAAGACAAGGGGAAATGATGTTACCGGGAATACGGACTGTCGGGGGACTGGAAATGGGACCAGTCAGCAGGGATAGAGTCATCAAAACATACTGGGTGATAAAAACCATAGTTCCAAGTGGACAAACCGAAAACAAACGAAAGAAAAACAAACATTGGTGGGGTTTCCTCCCCACAAGAATTTCTTTATCGTCTTTTAGCTGGACGCCAATAGGGTAGATGCTTAGAGAGGTGTAGGACCATGTACCTTCAAGAGCGGATCCACATCGTTCTGGAGGTACAACTTCAGGTGGTGTCCATGCACTCGACGAGTGTGACCACCAGCATTCTTCAACTCGACCTGGCCATCCGGCAAGATGCAAGCGAGTGAATACTCGGATGGCCAAGGCAGTCTAGGCTCAGGAGGCGGGACCAGCTCATAGTGGTCTCCGGCTTTCTTTTGAGCAGGCTTAGCTACCTGCAGTTTCGGCCGCCACTCTTCCTTGTGTTTTTCTTTTGGTAACTGAGTGGACAGGAGTGGCGGCGAAGGTATGGGAGGTGGGTCCTGCAAAATGGGGAGCATAGAAGGATACACGACAGACTCGTGCTCCTGGTGAGAAACAACATGCAAAGGCGATGAAGCAGGGAGAGTATTAGCAATGGAAAATGTTATTTGCTCCTCGACATCCCTCAAAACAAAGGTCCCATCATGTACATCTATAAGATCCTTGGCGGTGGCCAAGAAAGGCCTTCCCAGTATAAAGGGGCACTTTTGTGTCCTCATTGATGTCCAAGACAACAAAATCCACAGGATAAAAGAATCTGCCAACCTTAACCGGAAGGTCTTCCACTATGCCCCTAGGATGAACTATAGATCGATCAGCTAGTTGAATACTGATCCTAGTAGCACTGGGTTCACCTCGGCCTAGTTTCTTGAACAATTTATATGGTATCACATTAATACTAGCACCTAGATCCGCCAAGGACCTCTCTACATGCAATTTACCTATAGAGCACGGGATAGTAAAACTACCTGGGTCCTTCTGCTTCTGCGGAAGCTTGTTCTGCAAAATCGCCGAGCACTCCTCGCTGAGCTCCATAATGGCTAGCTCGCTCAGCCTCCGCTTCTTCGAGAGAAGCTCCTTCAGGAACTTCGCGTACCTAGGCAACAGAGATAGTGCCTCCGTGAAGGGCACTTGAACATGCGGCTTCCTACGCATGGACGAGAAGTTGCTGAACTCTGCCTTTAGCCTGGCTTTGTAAATCCTGGTGGGAAAAGGGAGCTTAGGCTTATATTCAGCCACTACTGGTTGTGGCTTTGGAGCTTCATCCTCTGGCCCCTTTTCCATCACTAGGTCTTCTTCCGGCTCTAGGGTGATCTAGGTCACCTTCTTGGCACTCTTCTGCGGTGCATCCGCAGTCATAGTCCCACTTCTCAGCACAATGGCGTGCAACCCCTCCTTATGATTTCTGGGATTTGGTAGGGGTTTGCCATGAAGTGTTCCAGCCGGTTTGGAAGCAAGGGCATCTGCCAGGTGCTCGATCTTGGTGTCCATATCCTGCAGGAGTGCCTGCTGGTTTCTCTGGCCAGCTTCAATCTCCATGAATTTGCCTGCAGCCACTTCCATGAATTGCTCTCATTTATTGAACTTTTGGGTACTAGTGCTCGCCAAGGTAGTCACTAGATCCCTCAGTTCTGACACGGGATCGCCCGGTGCTGGGACTGATGGAGGTGCAACAAGTTGCTGGTACTGCTGCTGTGGGGGCTGTTGAAAAGCCTTCCCCTGTCTGGGCTGATAGAGTGGTTGTTGATGCTGCATCTGGCCTGGCCGAGGCTGGTATGGCTGCTTCTGGTTCAGAAAACTAGTTGCAGGAGCTTGGAAGCCAGGTGGCTTCTGATTGTTGTTGCCACTCTAGGAGAATTTCGGTTCCGGTGCCATCCCTCATTGTAGGTGTTACTGTATGGGTCGTTGCGCTGGACATTGTTGATGAAGTTCACCTGCTCCTGGGGTGAACTGGACTCACGCATGGCCTGGCAGTCCTCTACAATATGATGGGCACTCTCGCACCACTGGAAACGCATTGCCGGCTGCTGCCCTATCCCCGGAACCATCCCATTCCGATTGATGGTTGAGACCAGTTTAGACACAACTTGCACCAAATCAGAAGAGTGGGTGCCCACATCATATACACCTCGGCTTGGTGCTCTCCTCAACCTCCTAGCAGTGCCCCAATCATACCCTTTCTCTGCCATCTCCTCAAAGAGTTGATTCAACTGCAGCTGCGTCTTGGTCAGCATGTTCCCGCCACAAACCGAGTCAATCAGCTGCTTGTCTTCTGAAAAAAGGGCGTGGTAGAAGGTGCCCACCTTGAAGGCATCATTGAAACCATGATTGGGACACCTCAAGAAGAGACTGGTGTATCTCTCCCATGCGTCCCGGATGTTCTCATCTTCATCCTGGGCAAAGTGGGTGATCTTCTTCTGCAAGTCCGACGTTTTCGATGGAGGATGATCGCGGGTGAGGAACTTGTCCGCCAGGTTGGCGAACATGGTGATTGATCCGGGAGGCCTAGTGTCCAGCCACTCTTTAGCTTGCCCCTCCAGAGTAAATGGGAAGTACCTCAGCTGGATGGCATCGGATGGGACCCCATTTATCTTGATCCCATCGATGAGCTCATGGAACCGCCTCAGGTGTGATCGGGGGCACTCTCCCTCCTTGCCACGGAATACCACTGAGCCGCACAACATGGTGATGACAGAGGTACTCACCTCGAAGTTGTTGGTAGCAACTTGAGGGTGTTGGATGGGGGACCTCATTTCTACGGCGTAGGTCGTCCAGTAATAGCCCATGGTTTGCTCCTCGGGAATGAGCACATCATTGTTTTGTGGTTCACCCATTTCTTCCTCCTCAGTGATGTGTAGTTGCTCCACATCTTCCTCCGCAGCCAGTCGTGCCTTTAGAGCCCGCTTGAAGTTCCTACAGGTCCGTTCAAGCTCTTGGTCTAATGGTAGTAAATCTCCCGACTGGCTACGGGTCATGCACTACCTGCACACAATCAGCAAAAGCAACCCGTGAAGGCACACATGTGGAAGAGAGAAAATGTAGTAAAGAAAAAGCTAGAGTAACAAACTTTCACGTTTCCCCAATAACCTAAAGGGTCCCCGGAAACGGCGCCAAAAACTTGACACGCTAAAACACAACACCAAACTGGGACCAAGTGTAATCGCAGTCCGGTAATGCAGTAACAGGCAAGCTCTAATTGTCAACCCGGGGTCTAGATCTACTGCCTACTCCGTGAATATCTATTATCTAGCAAACTAAGTCGAGTGATTGTGAGTTTAACTAAAAGCAGTAAGAAAGCAGGAAATGGTTCAAAGTTCTTTAGCAAGGGAAGAGTCACTCAGGAATGAGTCCCCCTAGCTCCTTAGTTAGGTCGAGGTTGTAATTACCCTGGGTTGATTAACTGTTGATTAAACTGCGGAAGATCCGATAGTAGCTTGGAATCTCTTAAGCTGACCAAGCCCTCTTAGTCAAACTACCCGGCAGACGACTAATCTTCACCAGGATAGAAAGCTGAGGCTATGAATGCAAAAATCCACTACTAAAATTTGTTTCCAGTACAAAGCAGTAAATCGATTAACTCTCGTATAATCAATCTACCACTACCGATTGATGAAGCTCTAACAACCTAATCAGATTCTATCTATCTCAGGTTGCAGCAGAAATCAAGAAAAGGTGATCAGACTTCAATTGACTCATTGAATCATGCATCAATCGATTAAAATCAGACAGTATAACAATCCCAAGTCATTACAATCAAGATCCCTAACACATGGAACTAGGGTTCTTCATACCCAAGTAAGAGAAGGTTCTACTCCATAGAGAGAGAGAAAAACAGAAAACAGAGTAGTCATACTCATAAAGATGAGGAAAAACTGCTCTGGGATGATGATCTTCACTCCTATGATGATCTGAAAGCTCGATTGATGAAACCCAGCTCCAAAATCACTTCTAGGATGTGTTCTTCGCACTTTCCCTCTCTGGGGCTCTATTTCTTGTTCAAAAACTCGATTCCCTCTCCTTTTGCTCGAAATTGGGTTAAAACCCAGATTTTCCCAACCACACGGCCGTGTGGATTCCCAGTTTGCTCGTGTGGATGATAAAACGCGGCGTTTCAATTAATGGGTCTTCAAGCCTGCTGCACGGCCAGAGACACACGGCCGTGTGGATTTCCAGGCTGGCCGTGTGAGCTCCCTGGACTTTCCACAATGCCACAAGGGGTCCCCTACACGGCCAGTGTGGCTTGCCCGTGCAAATTGGTGTCACACGGCCAAGTCACACGGCCGTGTGGGATTTTAGGTGTGCCCGTGTGGGTTCCTCAACTTCTCGCCAAATGTCCAATCTTCGTCCAATCGACCCCGAACTCGTTCCCAAACCTTCATTCACGTATTAGGACCTAAAATATCACAAACAAGAACAACCTAGCGTGAAATTGGCCTAAAACACGAGAAATAAGACTCAAACGGTACAAGAATGTTGGACAAAAACATGTGTAAATATCAAGTCATCATGCACCCTGCCAACTTGATACATCGTTAGGGGTCCACCAAGCCCATTGTGAGACTTAGTCTGCATATAGCCCCCTAAGGGGCTCTATATCATGTCTATGATGACTTGGTACCCTCTAGGGGTCTTGGTACCGAGGCTTTCTTGCCTGCCCTGCCCCCTTAGCTCCATACTTAGCCAAATTCATGTTTTTTATGTCTTGGTACCAAGGCATGTTTTTCCGACCTGGTACCCTCTTGGTACTTTGGCTTGGTACTTAACCAATCTTGTCGTGCTCGGTCCCCTATCGTTTGGCCCCCTATTGCCATGAGATTCCATACTTAGCCAAATTTCACGCTTGGGTACCAGGGATGTTTTGCCGTCTTGGTACCCTCTTGCTATGGGTGAAGATCACTCAACCTCGTTTTTATCCTTTTGTTTGTGAATTGTGCATTTTTTCGGCTTTTCCGTTTGTCTAACCTTAACTTTGAAATTCTAAGCTCATATTTGAATATTAATATTATATGCTATGAGTGTATTTGAATTTTCACTATGTGATGCATCCAAATATAAAATGTTATTTTGGTGTAATGTTATATGTTTATTATCCATATATTAGATGCCATTAGTTATAGTTTTTAAATATTTGAAATATAATAACTTTTTCATATATCCGGACTAAAGCGATTACACTTAGTGATGGCAATTTGAACCTTCCCGCGGGTATTACCCGACCTGAACCGTGATGGGGTGGGTATACCCAACTCGCAATAGTGTGGGGCATGGCATGTATATCTACTTTCGACGCGCCTTGCCCCACCCCGTTCTTGGCCCATACGATCTCAATTACTTACAGTATCTATACATATTTTTCTATTTTGACTTTTTTTCAATTAGTTAGAGTCTATCTTTCGACTTGTTAGACTCAATTACCCATTTATTATCACTATTTTCATTCATAAAGTATTTTTTCCTTCATTTTAACGTAAAAAGTAAAATTGTGTGTATTTTTTTTGAATCACATGTAAGAGTGGGTTGACACGTCTTGCCCCATACCCGCACGATTTTTACCTACCCCGATCCAAAGTAGCGTGGGGCAGAGCACCCCGCCCCATTGCCATCACTAATTACACCATTAACACTCAACCCACTTGCTCGATCAGACCAGCCGGCCAAACGCGGTTGCTAACCTTACTTCATAATGTCTACATGGTTAGTTACAAAATAGTTCATGTTTGGCAAGTAAGGGAGTAAATTCGAGGGGGTGTGAATTTTTTTTAAACCAAAGATAGCTTGCATTACCAAGAGAAAGATAGATCGAACGGAGCCAAGCGCAAAAATCAAAACCTAGCACATCACTAGCTGACAATACTAGGGCCTTCCTTGCCACCAAATGGGCAACCATATTGTTCTAACTACCAATGAACTGCACTCTAAACCCCAGCAACATATGCCGAAAATCCCTGACTTCCTGCAAGATTACTCCACCCTTGGCGTCCATCACCTCCATCGCATTCACCTTATCAATTACGACCTTTGCATCCCCCATAATCATCATTGACCCCCAGCCCCTCATTATGCACCAGTACATAGCCTCCCGAAGTGCAACCAACTCCATCACTGCCGGCTCAAACGCTCCATCCAAGCGCTCCCCTTTCGCCAACACGACGGCTCCCGTTGCATCCCGAATAACTATCCCAACTGCAGCATGAGACTGCCCACAAACAACACCATCAAAAGAACACGACGGCTCCCCCACAGGTCCCGCCAGCCCGCCCAACCCCCTTGTACCGGCGGACCAGCAAGCCCCACAGCCCCCTCACCTTCTAGCACCCTTTCCCACTCTTGCATCAGATATAGGAGTTGCTGCCGGAGAATGGATTGGTGTACCTGCTTGAACTCGAATACCACCCAATTACGCGCCTTCCAAATGCGCCATAACACCGCCACTACGCGGCACATCATGGCCTCCGAGGACACCCGCTCTGAGACTCGTCGAAGGAAAACCACAAAATAGGCTCCATCCAGGCCGTCTGCCAGTCCCAGGAACCATAGTTAGGAGGGACCCAGACTTGACAGTGTACGCACCAGAAGAATCTTCTGCCCAGATAAGTTTGTCCTTCACCTCCAAGCGGGGCAACGAAATAGCCTTAATCCGTATGACCCATTGAGGAGGGAAGCAAGCGACCAGACATTCCTCACACCATTTCCCCTCCCCTGGGCAAATCAAAGCCGAAACTTTATCATGTCCCGAGACTGGAGCCAAAGGCAAGAGAGGAGGAGCCTCTTGCTCCTTCCCTGGCACCCACAGAGCAGATCCTATCTCCACCTCCTCCCCCGTACCCATTTGCCATTGCAGACCCTGTTTGAGCAAATCACACCCATGTAGCACACTCCGCCAGCCCCAGGATGGGCGAGATCGCGGACCCGTAGTTAGGAGGGACCCATTTGGGAAATACTTTCCCTTATACATTCTTGCTAACAACGAGCCCAGCTCCTCTAAAATCCGCCATCCTACCTTTGCCGATAAGGCCTAATTGAACTCCTCAAATCATCTGAACCCCAAACCGCCCTCATGCTTGCTTTTGCACAGTCGTCGCCAAGACATCCAATGTATCCTCGACAAGCCATCCTTCGTCCCCCACCAGAACCGTGCCATCAATAAATCTAGCCGACGACACAAAGTTTTTGGCAGCAGCAAACAGGACATAACATGAATTGGAAAAGCCGCTGCCACCGATTTAAGGAGGGTTTCTTTTGCCGCCCAAGATAGATGACGTTGTTTCCACCCTTGCAACCTAGCGAGAAGGACCTCCTCAACGAACCTGAATGTTTCCGCATTTGACCTAGCTACCAGAGTCGACAAACCGGGGTATTTATCCTGGACCCCAACCGCACCCACATCCAACCGAGCAGCCATCGCGGCACAATCCGGCCCCAAGATGTTCCTACTGAAGCAAACGGCTGACTTGGCCAGATTCACCCTCTGCCCACTTAACGTCTCGTACTCCTGCAGGACCGCCAGAAGAGCGTCACACACTCGGAAGGATCCCCTCATAAACAGACAAGAATCATCTGCAAAGAACAAATGCGACACGGCCGGAGCTCTAGGGCTCACACGAACTCCCGCAAGCCTTCCTTCCGAAATCGCCTTCTTGATCAAGGCAGAAAATCCTTCCGTACAGAGCACGAACAGTAAAGGTGACAAGTGATCCCCCTGTCTCAACCCCCGTGACGATCGAAAGAAACCCGAGGGGGCTCCATTCATCATTACCGAGAAAGATGCCGATGAGAGGCACTCTCGTATCCACCCTATCCAAACCTGACTAAAATCCAATCGTTCCAAGACCGACCGAGGGGGTGTGAATTGGTAGGGTGTAAGTCAAGGAATAATTTGTTTGGAAAGAAAAATTAGAAAGTATGAAGTGATGTGAAAATGTATGTTAAATTATTATATAAAAATAAAATATAAAGAATAAATATGCAATAATTTAAATATTTTATTTCAGTAGTAACAACTGTATGTTTCTTATGATAATAATCATTTTTATGCATAATCAGTATTGTATTCAAGAAAACAATAATAATCATTATATTAAAAAAATCTAGGTTTAGAGATTTTTTTAGTAGAGTGGGTTGGTTTGTTCAGAAAGGGGAGAGGGAATGTAGAATAATCATCTTGCTTTTGTGAGTTTGAGCTAAGACAAGGTTGTGGTGTAACATATTGATGAGTCAGTTGTAACTTGTAACCCTAAATGCTCTGCTACTACTAGCATAGGTGTTGACAAAGGATTAGGGACAACAAGAGTGGAAGGAGGATAGTCATACCAGACCAGACCTCAAAGAGAGTAAATACAGGTTGATGTGATAACACACCACTTTGTCATAGATAACCAGGACAACTATTGATGGGGATTACAATGAGTGATATCCAGGGGACAAGTATAGTTTCGTACCTTTCAAAGAGCAGAGGGATGTCCTGGAAAATATTGCATCTCTAGCAGCAGGCACAATTGTGTGCGGTCCCATGAAACTTGAAGACCTTAATTATCAAAGATTATATTAGCAGCTGTATAAATTAAGGATGTCTCAAACTGAAAAGTGGCCCTTCTTGGAAAATCTATTAAGTTGCCACCAATATCACCTCATTCCCCGCCAAGTTAGGTAGCACTTCCAATCCCAACAACTTGATTAAGCCTTTCTTTTGAATATGGCTATGCAACTTATGTCCTAGCTAGTAAGTGTTACAACCATTTATTTATGGTTAGTCAAAATAAAAAGTGCGCCCGTCTAGTCTAGATAGTGTTGCCATTTAGAATTTGCTAACAAAACATCGATCGGGGTATTGTTTATCATATGTGAGTAGGTCTTGCTTGCGTTGGTTAAGTGCTTGGTTGAGATAAGAAATTGAATGCCCACCTTATGGATGGACTACTTGCATAAGTCTCAAGAGTGAATTTCTTCTCGAAGTCTGGAAGTGCTAATATGGGAGCTTAGATAATGGCTTGCTAAAAGAGAATCAAACGCTTGTTACATATGCGACAAAACAAGAAAACTAATCTTTCTTTAACAAATCATCAGTCCAGGGCTTGCTTATTGACCCATAACCCTTGACAAACTTATGGTAATGACCTGTTAATGTTGGATCAAAAGATCTCAATCAGATCAAGTCACGAGATTGCTCTGGCAAATTAGAGAGATCATAGACGATTGAAGCTGCAATCAAGGGGGAGCAGCCTGGCAACTTATTAGACTTTCCTTTGCTGGAGATTTTTGAATGCCAACGGCTCCTGTCCTGAAGCTCTTTAAAAGGAAGTGTGCACTCTGAATTCTTTACGGTTTGGGAACTCCTTGTGGAAGAGGGCAAGGGTTTGGGAAATCGTTTGTGGCTTTGATTCACTGAGGAATAGGTTCAGTTAATCAAAGGTGTAAGTGAATTCCTGCGAGAATTCGGTCCTAGTCTCCATAGCTTTTGATTTTCACATTCTGTCTGTACTCGAGTCTTCTTCTTTCCCTTCCTTTCTAAAAACCAGAAAATCAAAAGTGTCTCTCGGAATAGTGTCTACTATTCCGGGACGAGGAGTAGCCCTGTGGTGAACCTCGTAAAAATCTCGCTGTGTATTTCGTTTTCTGCTGTTTCCCTGCTTGCTCGATTTCTGCTTCCTCTGTTCTTCTCTTCCCCTGTTTCTGTTCTTTCTGAAACCGAGAGGAAGAAGACTTGCTTTGGTCTTCTCAGCTTCTGGGCTCGGGCTTCGATTGAGTCTTCGACCCAGTCGCTTGTGACCTGTTCGTTGGGCTTCTCTTCAGAGGTCCACCGAGTATAATCATCTCATATCAAACGAATTTGGTCAGTGTCGTTTTGATAAGAGACTGAGGTTGACAATTGGGGAGCTTGGTCAAAATCCCTAATCGGGTTTGCTCCTTTCATTTCCCGATCGACTTCTCTTCTACCTCTCTACAAGTGGTATCAGAGCTCCTGGCTCTTGAGAGAGCTAATTACTGCCAAGAGAAGATCCAGTCAAATATGGCATCAGGAAATTTTGGGCATGCCTCCTATAATCACCCGCCGATATTCACTGGCTCCAACTACACCGCGTGGAAGAAGCGAATGAAGACTTTCCTCTGGGGCGTTGATGAAGATCTATGGACTGTCGTTCGCGGTTGTCCTATGCCCATGGAGGATGCCGAGCAAAACTTGTGGTCTGTTGCTCAGAAGAAGAACGCTCAACTGAATCAGAGAGCGATGCACATCCTACAGTCAGCCATGGTACCTGATGAAGCTGATAAGGTGGAGCACTGTGAGTCGGCCCAGCAAATCTGGCTATCGCTTGAAAGTACATATGAAGGGTCGTCAAACATCAAGGAAACCAGAATCGATCTTCTGGTGCACGAATACGAATGCTTCGACATGGGTCCAGGTGAGAGTATTCATGAAATGTACTATAGATTCACTGTTCTTATTGACAAGCTTAAAGGTCTAGGGAAGGTCTATCTTTTGAAAGACTTAAACAGAAAAATTTTAAGGTCCTTACCTAAAGAATGGCTTCCTAAACGAACTGCTATTGAAGAAGCCAGAAATCTAAATACCTTACCTATCGATGAGTTAATTGGGTCACTTCTTAGTCATGAACATGTTTTAAAACAAGTTAACAAGGATGATGAAAAACGTAAGAAGACTCTAGCCTTTAAATCTCAGATAACTGAATATGAATCGGACAGTGAGCTAGGTGAGGAATTCTGTAGAGAATTTGCTTTAATAAGCAACAAGTTTCACAGAATGCTGAAATATAAGCAAGATCATAAACAAAAATCTCTTGATCGAAATGCATCTTTTCGAACTAACTCTTTTGACAAAGTCAAAAGTTCCTTTCAAGATAGGCTGCGCAACCCGCAGACCAGACATGTTGATGCAGGATCTCATGAAAAGGAAGCTCAGGATTGCTACAAATGTGGCAAACCTGGGCACATTCGAGCAAACTGCCCACTAACTCTGAGGGCAAAAGAAAAGGCCATGAAAGCAACCTGGAGCGACTATGAGTCAGAAGGAGAGGAAGAATCCGAAGATGAAAAAGCGTTTATGGCCTCTATGAAGAATGAATTGTACTCTACAACAAGTAAGGACCTACCTGACTCACCTGATGATACCAAGTGGTACCTCGACAGTGGATGCTCGCATCACATGTCAGGTAAGAATCACCTATTCACTTCTCTAAATATGAAACGTGGTGGTAAAGTCACTTTTGGTGATGATAGTCAAGGTGAGATTATAGGATCAGGAAGTGTATGAAAAAGTCCATATCCTGTCATAAGAAATGTGTTACTAGTGAATGGTTTAAAACACAACCTGCTATAAAAAGTCAATTATGCAGTAATGGAAATCGAGTTGTGTTTGAAAATGAGAGATGCTCAGTTGAACAAACTAAGGATAACAAAGTTGTGTTTATAGGAAAAAGAATCAACAATATGTATATTGTTGATCTTACTGATCTTAGTCAGTTTAATGCTAAATGTCTTCAAGTGTCCTCAACTTCCTCTGAATATCTGTGGCACAAGAAGCTGGGGCATGTTAGTCTGCCTAAGCTAGCTGTTTTATCCAGGTTAAGTCTAGCCAGAGGCATTCCTAGACTTAAGGACAAGGCAGAATTTTTTTGTAATGCCTGTGCTGCTGGAAAACTAAGAAGAAAAAGTTTTAAATCAAAACCTGACATTACAACCTCAAAAACATTTGAACTAATACACATGGACCTATTTGGCCCTTGTAATGTCACCAGTCTAGGAGGGAAAAACTATGTTTTTGTTCTAGTAGATGATTACTCTAGGTTTTCCTGGGTCTATTTTCTGGCTCACAAAGATGAGACGTTTGAAAAATTTCACCATTTTGTCTCTATTAACAAAGAAAACATAAAAAACATTCGTAGTGATAATGGAGGAGAACTCATTTCTGATGACTTTGCTGAATTCTGTGACCAATCTGGAATAAGTCATTCCTTCTCTGCTCCTCGTACCCCTTAACAAAATGGGGTTGTTGAACGCAAAAATAGGACATTAATCGAATGTGCTAGAACCATGCTCCTGGATTATAATCTTCCTAAATTCTTCTGGGCTGAATATGTAAACACAGCTTGTTATGTTATTAATCGAGTAATTGTTCGAAAGCAATTAAACAAGACACCCTACGAGATTCTAAAAGGGAAAACTCCTAAAATCTCCTATTTTCATCCCTTTGGATGTCCTTGCTATACTCTTAATACTCGAGACACTCTAGGTAAATTCGATGCTAAGTCTGATCCTGCTACCTTTCTTGGTTACTCTACCAAAGGTCAGGCCTACAGAGTGTTTAACAAAAGAACTAGAAAAGTGGAGGAATCAGTACACGTTGTTTTCAATGAAACTGATTCTGAAACTTCTCCCACAATCATGTCATATGATTTAAGTGAGCTCACAACCTCCTGTCAATTTCCTCTTAGTACACAGGATGATGCAGTGAAAGATTCAGAAGAATTACAGCCTTCCAATAAGGAATCAGAAGCCACAATTGAAGCTCCCAAAGCCCCTCCTCACATCCAGAAGCGCCACCCTGAGAGTCAAGTAATAGGAAACATCAATGACAAACTGCAAACAAGAGGTAAGTATACTCCAGGCCAATATGCATTTGTTTCTCAAATTGAACCTAAAAACTATAAAGAAGCTCTAGATGATGATGAATGGAATATGGCTATGGTAGAAGAATTAACCCAGTTTGAACATCTTCGTGTCTGGGATCTTGTTCCTAGACCCCCAAATGTGATTGTTATAGGAACTAAGTGGGTTTTCCGTAACAAATCTGACGAAATGGGTTTCATTATTCGAAACAAAGCTAGACTTGTAGCCCAGGGGTACCTTCAAGAAGAAGGCATCGATTATGATGAAACATTCGCCCCTGTAGCTAGACTAGAATCAATAAGACTGTTGTGTGCTTTTGCTAGTCACATGGGATTCCCTTTATATAAGATGGATGTTAAAAGTGCCTTCTTAAATGGGTACATACAAGAGGATGTTTATGTAAGCCTCCTGGATTTACTGATTTTAAACATCCTGATCATGTCTATAAGCTTAACAAAGCATTGTATGGACTCAAACAAGCTCCTAGAGCTTGGTTTGAACGCCTTACAACATTCCTTCTAGAGAATTCATTTGTTCAAGGAAGCATAGACAAAACTCTATTCACCAAACAAGTAGAAAGTAATATTCTTCTGGTTCAAGTCTATGTCGATGATATAGTATTTGGATCCTCTGATCCTTCTCTATGCACCTCCTTCTGTGAAACTATGAAGTCAGTCTTCGAAATGAGTATGATGGGAGAATTGAAATTTTTTCTTGGGCTCCAAGTCAAACAGTCTGCTTCTGGTATCTTTATTAATCAGTCAAAATATCTTCAAAACATGCTAAACAAATTTGACTTAAACAATGTTAAAATTAGTGTCACCCCTATGGCTGTAAATCTCAAGTTGAATAAGGATGAAACAGGAGTGCCTGTAGATGAAAAAAGATATAGAGGGATGATAGGGTCCTTACTCTACCTCACTGCTAGTAGACCAGACATACAGTATAGTGTATGTATCTGTGCTAGGTTCCAGTCAACTCCTAAAGAAAGCCATCTAACGGCTGTTAAGAGAATTTTTAGATACTTAAAAGGCACTTCAGAAGTAGGCCTTTGGTACCCCAAAAACAATGACTTCTCTCTAATAGGCTACAGTGATTCAGACTTTGCAGGGAGTTTAACTGACAGAAAAAGTACTACAGGCACGTGTCAATTTGTAGGAACTTCTCTAGTCTCTTGGTCATGCAAAAAACAGGGAGCTGTAGCACTTTCAACAGCTGAGGCAGAATATATTGATGCAGGCAGCTGTTGTACTCAGCTAATATGGCTTAAGAACCAATTATAATGTGACAATCAACTCAATACCTCTTCTGTGTGATAACACCAGTGCAATCTGTATGTCAAAAAATCCGGTTCAGCATTCAAGAACTAAACACATTGAAATTAAATACCACTTTATTAGGGATTTAGTTCAGCAAAATACCATAAGTATTAGTCATATCCCTACAGAATATCAACTATCAGACTTATTTACCAAGGCTTTAAATGCAGACAGATTTACTTTTCTATGTTATGAGATTGGTTTAAGATCTCCAGACAATCTGGAGGATCTCCCTTGACTGCTCGGTGCCTAATTGATTGTATCTTTCTTTTTTTTGCTGTGTTTATTTACTTTTTTTGTGTCTTGCCCCTTTTAGTTCTTCCTGTTTAGTTTCTGCAATTATCTATTTAAGCATGCTTGAGTCTCTATTATAATTATCCTTTCTCGGTTTTAGAAGTCTTCCTGTCTTAGCTATGGTACTAGGGTTCTCCAAAACTTTCACAGGTACTCTCTTTCACGATCCCATCCCAGCCAATGCTCAGCGTCACTCCATCTCTTTTGCTCATCGTCCTTTCATACCTACTCATCATATTCCTTTTGCTGAACTCATAGAATATGGTCTAGATGTAACTGGGTTTGTTCACAATCTGGGCTGGGATTTTCTGATTAATGATACTCCTGAGCATATATGCCCTGAAGGTGTACGTCTATTCTTCTCCAATTTTCGATCTTTTGGGCTTCATACTCGTACTTTTACCACTCTGATCTATGGAAATCTTGTTACTATTCCCCTCGAAAATCTTAGGCGTCTTCTCAATATTCCTAGGTTTGGAGAAATACTGGCCAATGACTCTGAATTTCCTCTGTTCAATTTTGATATTGTTCAGGAATTTGTCCTCCTCACTGGTCACGAGCCAGATGCCTATCTTACGTTGCCTACTGCTTTCCTTTTTCCATCCCTGCATACATTTCATTATCTGTTGACTAGGAGGTTTCTTCCTCGAACTGTTCTTCTGGATCGAGTCACTCCTCTTGATCTTTGGGTTCTGCAACATGCAGTTCAAAATGTTCCCCTTGACTATTGTCATCTTCTGTTCGGGCACCTTTATCCCTTCCAGCAATTCGAGTATCTGGGCCATCTTCCCTTAGGTCCACTGATCACTCGTCTCATTATTCGCCTTCATATCTCCTTGGATCCCTTCCGAATCATTACTCCCAATGTATATCTCTCTGCCGATGATATTCTTGACGAGATTGCGCTTGCCGTTGAGGGGGAGGATGCTGATGCTGAGAGTGACAGTACTGATAGTGATAGCTCTGATGACGACGGTCCGATGGAAGAGCCAGACAAGGAGGATATGGTAGTTGCTGAGCCTGAAGGAGATGATGTCCCTGAAATTGAAGTTCACTGGGTCAGCAGCAATGACAAATCTGATAGCAGTAACTCAGATGATGACTCTTCCTCTAGTGCTCCATCTCTGGCAGAGGTCTTGGCGGATCTCAGGGATGCATATTATTCCGAGTGACTTAGTTACTGTTTGTTCAGTGTCTGAATGGTTCTGACTTCGATGGTTGAACTTGTTGGTCTTTCCTGCTCATCTAGACTGGTTTGCTGGGCGTGTTTTCTCCAGCTAGTTATTTTTCCTTGTTCAACTGGTTGTTACTTTTTGTCGGATGATCTTACCAGCTGGTTTTAAATTGTGTTTGCTTGGACTACCTGTCTGTGGTTTTTGTTTTGCTCTGGGAAAGCTATATATGTTTTGCAGGGTTCAAGCGGCAAATCAGCAATCTCTGACTTAGGGGGAGATTGTTGGATCAAGAGATCTCAATCAGATCAAGTCACGAGATTGCTCTGGCAAATTAGAGAGATCATAGGCGATTGAAGCTGCAATCAAGGGGGAGCAGCCTGGCAACTTATTAGACTTTCCTTTGCTGGAGATTTTTGAATGCCAACGGCTCCTGTCCTGAAGCTCTTTAAAAGGAAGTGTGCAGTCTGAATTCTTTACGGTTTGGGAACTCCTTGTGGAAGAGGGCAAGGGTTTGGGAAATCGTCTGTGGCTTTGATTCACTGAGGAATAGGTTCAGTTAATCAAAGGTGTAAGTGAATTCCTGCGAGAATTCGGTCCTAGTCTCCATAGCTTTTGATTTTCACATTCTGTCTGTACTCGAGTCTTCTTCTTTCCCTTCCTTTCTAAAAACCAGAAAATCAAAAGTGTCTCTCGGAATAGTGTCTACTATTCCGGGACGAGGAGTAGCCCTGTGGTGAACCTCGTAAAAATCTCGCTGTGTATTTCGTTTTCTGCTGTTTCCCTGCTTGCTCGATTTCTGCTTCCTCTGTTCTTCTCTTCCCCTGTTTCTGTTCTTTCTGAAACTGAGAGGAAGAAGACTTGCTTTGGTCTTCTCAGCTTCTGGGCTCGGGCTTCGATTGAGTCTTCGGCCCAGTCGCTTGTGACCTGTTTGTTGGGCTTCTCTTCAGAGGTCCACCGAGTATAATCATCTCATATCAAACGAATTTGGTCAGTGTCGTTTTGATAAGAGACTGAGGTCGACAATTGGGGAGCTTGGTCAAAATCCCTAATCGGGTTTGCTCCTTTCATTTCCCGATCGACTACTCTTCTACCTCTCTACAGTTAAACCCAAGAAACATCTCAATTCCTTCACCATCTTGGATACTGGCAAAAAAAAAAAAAAAAACATGACCTCTATTTTATTGAGTGTTGCAAGATTGTATCAATCTTTGGCCTTGGTAGTTTTGTCGACCAGAAAACAGAGTTCTTGTAACAAAGTAAAAAAAAAAACCAAGTAAATGTATACGAGTCATCAAAATCATATCCATATAAGTTCTAGAGAACAGTAAAAAAGTTGGAGGATGACGCACCAGAGGTTGAGGAAACTGTGGAGTTGTCAAACCCATCTAGAGCTTAAAGAGAAGCGACAAAGAGTACAAGGAAGAAATGCTGGAGGGAAGAAGTAGTGGAAGAACCTAATTAATAGTAGGAAAGGAAGGAGGCTATTAGCCATAAGGGTTAGGAGGTCGTCAGGAGGATGGCTAGTCAGATAATTGATGGCTTCATGAGCAAGCTAAGTTTAATTTATGGTGGAACAACTCAGATTCATTAGCCAGGATTGCACTGCCACCAGGGAAGTTCAAGAGTCGTCAAAGATATTGGATGGGAATGGTGATCATGTTGGAAATGAAAGAAAGAAAGGACTTTAGGAAATAATTTCTTTTTTTTTTATGAGAAAGCTATCTTCTAACCTATTCCTTCCTCATGAAGCACATATATATTACTTTTGGGAACCCATAAGTTGCAGTATTGACTTTGAGAACCCATTGTTGTTTGGTTATCTGAGGTTTTATTTCTGTTTTAATTTAAACTCGTATTTTTATTCATTGCTATATATGATAATTCGTACTTTGACAAACCAACAAATCCGAGTGTAACATTAATTTCTCAAATGTCTATACTTATGGCATCTAAAGCATTGAACATGTCGTCAGTTTGGTTTTCTTTATAAAAATCCTTCTCTTGGAAAAGTTTTCAGATTCCTAGATCTTGAAGACAGTTCTAGCAAGATGGTATATGCCTATAACAGTTGTACTGTAACTGAATTACTCGTTCAGAAAGAACTTTTACAAAGTTTTCTAGTTCATTTATACTCTTTTATTTCATCAGAAGAAATTCACATTCTCTTTTAGTTTTTGTTTAGACTATGGATCTGTGTCTTTGCCATTTTTTACGTAACTATTGTTTTAATTGACTCGTGATATTCATCCGAAACAGTGTCATCTTTGCATGCATGTAAAGTTTCAATTAGTCCTTGAATATCTTGATTTTCTTTGGCCATTAATCCTAGATGATCTTGATAAATGAGAGGCATATATCCTTTGTGCTCATCTTTTGATTTCGATTCACCCGATCCTTCTTTGCTATAGCTCTCCAAGTAGTAGCCATTTCTCTTTCTTGTCCACGTTGCTATAGCAAGTGGCTGGAAGTTTTGTACTGGTAGCTGGGATATACCGAATATCGTACCGAATTTGTCTATATTTGGTATTATCAGATACACTTATTATTTCTTGGGATTGTGATTGAGATTGAATTTCAATTGTTATTCGATATTAGGAATTACGGGATTGTGATCGGTATTATACCGAAATACCGATCAATACTGAAATATAAGCTAGTGCATATTTTATCCTCAACTAAACTATCTCATTCACTACTACACGAACCTCAACCACCAAGAGTGTTATTTAATTATACATAGATCATTCCATCACTATAATAGTAGTGTCACAGTCTCCAATTCGTCAAATTAAAGATTACTAATGACAAGAACTTGAGATGTCTCATCTCCTCCATTCTCTTTAATGATATCCTAATTCAAGATTCTTTGCTTAGCCTTTTCCCCCTAAATTAAATAATAAAATCTAATTTATATATTTAATTATTAATTGTAAAGGTAATTAATTTCGCATTCGATAATACCGATTGAGATACCGAAGTATCATTTGGGATACCGAAATATTTAGGAATTTGGATTGGGATACCGGAATTTGTTAGGATAGGGATTAAGATTGAGATTGACTTTAATGATGTAATTCGATATTTAATATTTGGTATTGGGATACCGATACCGTACCCATTTCCAACCCATAGCAAGTGTTGATGCATGCCCAAAACACAACGGAAAACCCGAAACAGCGACCGTTTTGTTATTACCGCCAGCGTATCCACCTACCCCATCACAACACAAATTGCACAATTTTCATTTCCTCGGTCATATCGACCAAATCTACTCCTCAAATACCACGCGCTGTCCTCCCACCACGCGCCGCTGCAGTCCACCACCGAGACAATAAAAAGGAGCAGGCGAGGAGGAAAAAAAAAATTAAAAAAGGCGCTGATTTCTGGTACACAGAATACGGCCTCCAATCTTTCTTCTTCTTCTTCTTCTGTTCTCGCCCTCTCTCCGCCAAAAAGCCGAAAACTAAACAGAAGAAAAAGATGTCGATGAAGCTTTCTGCCTGCAATGTAACGGACAGAATCCACGCCCTTCTTCCCCAATGCAGATTCCTCGCCCCATGCTCCCGCCCTTTCCCTCCCCTTCGCAACCTCGTTCTCTCCTCCTCCGCCGCCACCGTCTGCAAAGCGTCGGTGCAGTCGGTTGACGGCGGGGTGGCGTCAAAAATTGAATCTGGGTCGGCGACGGCGAGGGGGAGCTTCGCCGATACGCTGAGACTGGGGAGCTTGACGGAGGATGGGTTGTCGTATAAGGAGAAGTTCATAGTGAGGTGCTATGAAGTAGGGATTAACAAGACAGCCACTGTTGAGACCATTGCTAATCTCTTACAGGTACTTCTTTCAAGAGAGAGTTTACACATTTTGGCTAGGGAAGCTTATGGCATCTGTCTCTATTGTGCTGTTAAATTCACGGGTTTGTTTGATTTATGGGAAACAAATTCTGGGATGAGAATTATTTTCTGCGTGCTAATGCCTATGTGATGCTACATGTTTAAACCGTGTTTCTCTGTGAATTCTGGAAGTTTATGCTTTTTGGGTTTGCTGGAACTTCAAAAAGCGTGGGTTTCTTTCTTCAGTTTGAGTTTGTAATTATTTTTCTGGCTATCTGTGATTCAGTAAAATGTTGTGTGTCTTTTGGAACTTCAAATTGCTTTTGGGATTTGAAATTCCTGTCAGATTCACATTGTGTATTGAGTCATAACAATCAACAGCAGAAGCATTATACCAATAAGCTAGAGTTCCTTATCTTCCGAGATGGTGCATGACTGTCGGCTTATATAGGTGAGATGAAAACATTGGGGAATATGTAGACCAAAGTATATCCTCTTGCATGTAACGAAATGCTCGATGGTCTGGTTATAGTTCAAAGCCCTGGATAGAATATTTTGTCTCTTGAAGAAAAGCAGCCATGACTTGGTCTTTAGTAGGAATGGATTTTCTTTTACCAGTATGTCTAGAGATCACATTTAGTTTAACTACGGGTTGCAGGAGGTCGGGGGCAACCATGCTCAGAGTGTTGGATTTTCAACGGACGGGTTTGCAACAACTCCCACCATGAGGAAATTGCATCTCATTTGGGTGACTGCGCGCATGCACATTGAAATCTACAGATACCCAGCTTGGTGGGTTTTCCTCCTTTCATCCCCTGCCACCACCAATTCTTGAGAATCAGGTTTCTTACTATTTCTTTGCCGACTGATAAAAGATTGCTTACATGCTACAGGAGTGATGTAGTTGAGATCGAGACGTGGTGCCAAAGTGAGGGTAGGATTGGTACCCGGCGTGACTGGATCATAAAGGACTATGCTACTGGTGAAGTTATTGGAAGAGCTACGAGGTGAACTTTTGACTTTTATATAGGCCGTCCTTCACCCTGCCTATCTTGCTTGTCTAACTTGAATGGATCCTTTTGTTTTCCCTGACAAAAACTCATCATTTGCATCTGGCGACTATGCATTTAGTTTTTGTGTCCTCTTATCCAGTGATGTATTATGGATTTTCACAAAACGTGTTCTCTAACTTTTAGCAAGTGGGTGATGATGAACCAAGATACTAGGCGGCTTCAGAAAGTCAATGATGAAGTTCGTGAGGAGTACCTAGTCTTCTGTCCACGAGAACCAAGGTACTACTCCATGCGTTTCAGCTGAATGCCTAATCTCTTTTATTGTGACTTTGCTGTGCTAAATGTTCAGTACTTTGCCTTCCCATTGCTAAATTCCATCTTTCACTCAGTTTTCCTGTTAGCACATAGGTAGGCAAACCACTTAGCTAGTCTTCACTTTCTCAATATCAGTAAGTTGGGGTAAGTTTTCAGGTGGCTAATGCTTACAGTTTGTTTCAACCTTTTACAGGCTATAACCACTTTCGGAAAAGAGAAACTGAAAGTTGATACTTGTACTTCTTTTTCGTCGCTTGCAGATTATCATTCCCAGAGGAAAACAACCGCAGCTTGAAGAAGATTTTAAAACTAGAAGATCCTGCTCAACATTCTAGACTGGGACTAATGGTAAGATACTTGGTTAAGCTTGCATTTTATGCTTCCTTTCTATTTTATTTCACTTTATTGATTCTGCTGTTTTTCTGATGAATGATTAATACCTTTGGCATTTCAGCCAAGAAGAGCTGATCTGGACATGAATCAACACGTCAACAATGTGGCGTATATTGGATGGGTTCTTGAGGTTGGTACCTGGAACTGGAAGCCCGTCTCTCGTTTGTCCTGGAACTTCCTTGCTTGATGTTCAGGGTCTTAATAATAAGTCACTTGAAATGCAACTTCATTGCAGAGCATGCCTCAAGAAGTGATCGACACACATGAACTGCAAACAATCACCCTGGATTACAGAAGAGAATGCCAGCAAGACGATGTAGTCGATTCACTCACTAGCGTGGAACCGGTTGACGGCAAGACAAATGGGTCGGCCTTGTCACCTGCTGAGGGATCCCTCAACTTCCTTCACCTGCTTAGACTGGCAGGTGAGCAAGGGCTCGAGATAAACCGAGGACGCACGGAATGGAGAAAGAAACTAGGGAGATGAAAGAGCCATCACCTTAGCAGTACATTTATGTAACTTCCAGATACCTTTCTTCATTACAGTTTAGGAGCTGGTTTGTTTGCCTTTTCCCTTGTGTGCGCTTTTTGCTTGGTGAGTGGGCTAGTTACTTATTTGTAGTTGGAGGTGCTTCGTTATGACAATATAGAGGAGAGACGAAAGAGTCGCTTATCCATAGACATTCGAGCTAGCTGATTGTCACAAGTCACAACGCAACTCCAGATGAACAAAGTGGTGTACCCATATATGACTATTTGATGCACTCAACTCTAAAAGTGATCATGATACATCGAATGTTGAACTTTAATTGATAGTATTATTATAATATGATGATCGAATGTTGAACTTTTCTAAAAGTGATCATGATACATCGAATGTTGAACTTTAATTGATAGTATTATTATAATATGATGATCGAATGTTGAACTTTAATTGGTAGCATTATTATAATATGATGATATAACATAGAATCACAATTAATTAATTCATTATCATAATTTTTTAACTTTCAATTTTGAATCCCAATCCAAAACCTCAAGTTGTAAACCTAAATCCTTCAAATTAAAGCAAATCTTGAACATTTTTTTTTAAATTCATGTGTTTCTATACCAGAGAAATTAGACATCACCATGAATATACAAATAAAATTACCAGAGAAATTAGCATTAATATCTTATAGAGTTTGGCAACTTTGTTGCTGTCTTCTCTCCCCACCTTTTCCCCCACGTCAATCTCTATAGTTGGCTTGTCTATCTTTCACTATCCCGTCCTCTTCCTCTGTTGTTATCGTAGATGTCTCTTATTCAGTGGTGGATCCAGAAATTTTATACAGAAGTGTTCTCTCCTAAAAATTAAATTAAATTAAAATTAAATAATTATTAATTAAGAAAATATCTGACTTGTCCAAAGGAAAACAAAGCACATGACGTGTTTGGGTTTAATCGTTAGCTTTTGAAAATAATTGAGATAAAAAATAGCTTTTTACTATTATATTTGGATTTGAAATACAAGAACAAATGAGTTATAGTCTAATGAAAAATATGTTTACCAATAATAGCATCGACCCAAGTTTAAATCACATAGGCAACCACTTAAATGTTTATATTTACCCATACACAAACTACTATTGGAGGATTATAATTGTTTTTCCAAATTTTACGAGTGTCCCGCCACCACTTAAATATTTTTTTTACCTATATGCAAACTACTATCGGGGGTTGAATAATGGTGTTCCCAAATTTTAGGGTGTCCCGGGACACCCCTAGAGCCCCATGGATCCGCCACTGCTCCTACTAGCTAGTGATCCTTCCCGTCCGTCACTGGCACTTCTTACTCCACCATTAAAAGAGCTGGCACATTAAAATTTCAATTCATCTACAACGAACATGTAATTATTACCAGCTGCTAATATTGTCTGGTAGTGCTAGAACAACCATATATATTGTAATGCGATGAATGAAATGAATCAGGCTTTTAGGTTTCATTCCAGATATGTTGTTATGGTATTAGAGCCCGGTTTGAAACCCTACCCGCCACCCATGGCAGAAAATCAAACAGCAACGAACACTCAAGCAGCTGCTAACGAGCAGCCATCAATTGATCAACCACCACCAGTTACTTACCAGATGGAAGATCCTTACTTCTTTCATGGATCAAAGCAGTTAGAGTCAACCTTGGTTGCCGAGAGACTCAACACCACCAACTACGACGATAAGAGCCGAGCTATGTTCAACCAGAACCACAAGAGACAGATCCAAAGCATGGAGTTTGGATAAGGAACAATGTGATGATACTTAGTTGGATACTGCAGTCAGTAGAGAGTGGGATAAGGTAGACAATCCTCTCCAATAAGTCAGCACTTGAAGCATGGAGGAGCTTGTAGACCAGATATGAATCTGGAGACATCATCAGGGTTGCAGAGCTTGAGGAGGCACTGGCCAACCTGAAACAAGGTAACCATACGATTACTGAATACTATGGTAGAGTCATTACTCTTAGGAATGAGTTAGATAACTATCAACCACTTATCCCCTGTGATTGCACACCTACTAGTCACAATGACAACAGAGCTATGAAAAGAGTGATGGAATATCATTAAAGTAGCTATTTTATACAGTTTCTTAGAGGAGTTAATGAAAACTTCTCTGGAGTTAGATCACAAGTTCTTTTTGGAGATGAGCTTCCAGGCATTAATAGAGTTTTTCAAAGAATGCTCCAACCTGAGAGGCAACTTTGTGGAATACAAACCGGGAAATTGGTAGCTTCTGTTATTGCAGATGTGATAGACCATTGATTGTACATGTTTTTGCCCCTATTCTTGAGCCGTTTGAGATGTTGATTCTCGTGTTTTAAGCCGATTTCACGTTAGGTTGTTCTTGTTTGTGATATTTCAGATCCTAGTACGTGAATGAAGGTTTGGGAATGAGTTTGGGGTCGATTGGACGAAGATTGGACGTTTGGCGAGAAGCTGAGGAAGCCACACGGGCACTCCTAAAAACCCACAAGGCCGTGTGACCTGGCTGTGTGACATCAAATTGCATGGGCAAACTCACACGGGCCATGTAGGGGACCCCTTGTGGCCGTGTGGAAATTCCAAGGAACTCAGACGGGCAGCCTGGAAATCCACACGGCCGTGTGGGTCTGGCCGTGTAGGAAGCCTGAAGTCACTTAACGAAACGCCGCGTTTTGCAAACTCACAAGGGTAGTTGGGAAAGCCACACGACCGTGTGGCCTGGCCGTGTGGTCGAGAAATTATGGGTTTTAACCCAATTTCGAGCCAAAGGAAAGGGAGAGCTGGGTTTTGGATCCCAAACACCCAAGGGACGAACCAAAGAGAGAGAGGGCGATTTGAGGGCATTCTTGGAGTGGAACTGGAGGATTTCTTCGCCTAGGAAGTTCGTGGAACAAGCCCGGACTTGAAGACTGATCATCTGAAGATTCTTACTGTAGTCTCTCTCTTCTCTATGGAGTAACTTCCCTTCACTTAGGTTTTGAGGAACCCTAGGTATGTTTGTTTGATTGGATGATTGTATGAGTACTCTGACTTGATAACCTTGAGTTCATATTCAATCTATGCATATTTTCATGATTCAATTCTGCTTTAGTCGAGATTATTGATTCTGCTTTGATCCTATGAGAGCAAATACCTGATTAGGTCAATAGAGCACCATAGATTGATAGTAGTGGATCGATTGCTTTAGTCGAGGGTTGATTCGCTGCTTTGTATCGATTGAGAACCTCTTTCGATAGAGGGAGTCTAGTTCAGAACGCCTTGATCGGTTGTTCTAGAGAAGGATACGTCCCTCTAGGCAATTGACTCTAGAGGGCCTTGTTCCTTTAGTCGAGACTCAAGGTCTAGTCATGGATTCTCCGCATTGTGAGTGAAAGTGAAACAAGTTAGAAATCATCAATCATTAATCTGGCTAGTGGCTAGGGGGAATCATACCTAAGCGAGTTCCCAACCTGTAATTAGATTAAGTTTAACTGTAGTTTGCTAGAGTAGTTTTAGTTCTTTCATCTTAATCTGGTTTGCTAGATAATGAACTGAAACTGAGTAATAGTAACTCTAGAGACCCGTGGATTCGATATTTATTACTTGAGCCACTATACTTCAGTCCCTTTCATTGGTTACACTTGGCCTTTGTTAGGAATTGTGTCATAGCGTGTCAAGATGTCACTGCTCTGGCTATGCAGCATACCAACAAAAGGACTTACCCTCATGGAAAGTGGCCTTTTTGCAGAACAAATTATGAGAGGCTGATGAGCTTTGATGAATTCCCAAAAGGCACAACCATCTTACTCAACAACATCTTTTGTCTCCACCAGAGGTAACTATTCTAAGTGTTGGCTATCCATACATGTTGTTAATGCAAGTCTTCATCACAAGGACAAATGGATCCTAGATACAGGAGCATCTGATCACATTATGTGTTCTATTGATCATTTTGAAAACTCAAAGCCACTTGAAAATGTTTACATAACTTTGCCTACTGGTAAGCAGATTTAGGCTACTCATACATGAACCATCTTTTACAATGACAATTTATTCATGGAAGATGTCCTTTGTGTTTCCAATTTCTCTTTCAATATGGTTTCTGTCAGCAAGTTAACCACCAAAAACTCACTCTCCTTGACCTTTCATTCTAACATTTGTCTTATACAGGATGTCAGGATCTGATGTAGAAGAGAGTGGCTGGTTCTGCTAGATTACTCAATGGACTATACTACTTAGAAGGATATAGTAGACCTAAACACATCTCAACAGCTAGTTCTTCTCATTTTGATCTGTGGCACTTTCGTTTGGGCCATGTTTCCCATTTCAAGATTCCCATCTAAACCTTTTTTGTACATTCATCCATACTCAGAGAGATCAACCCTATGATGTTTGTCACTTTGTCAAGCAAAAGAGACTTCCCTTTCCTTCCAGTCAAAGTGTAACACTGTATGCCTTTGAACTGCTTCATTTTGGCATTTGAGGTCCCAACACAGTACCTACTTATGATGGCTACAAATATTTCCTAGCTATAGTGGATGATTATACTCGTATGAATTGGATCATTTTGCTTACCTTAAAATCTGAAGCCAGACCTAAGCTCATTGCCTTTTGCAATCAAATGCAAAGGCAGTTTCAAGTTGCCATTAAAAGAATGAGAAGTGACAAAGTAAAGGAGTTTCAAATGGAGGATTACTTTCAATCTACTGGTATAATACATGAAATGTCTTGTGTTGAAACACCACTACCAAACAGTTAGGTTGAAAGAAATCATCAACACATCCTTAATGTTGCTAGAGCTCTATCTTTTCAGGCTTCTATGTCACCTAGTTTCTGGGGAGACTGTGTAAAACATGTTGTCTACCTCATTAACAGGGTTCCCTCCACTGTCCTAGACAACAAAACTCCTTATGAACTTCTCTATCATAAAACCCTGACCTTACTGACTTAAAAGTTTTTGGCAGTTTGTGTTTTGCTAGCACCCTAGGAAACCACAGAACCAAATTTCAACCTAGAGCTAGAAAGGGAGTTTTCCTTGGCTATCCTATAGGCATCAAAGATTTCAAAATCTATGATCTCTTTTCCCATGACATTTTAATCTCCAGGGATATCATTTTTCATGAATCTCACTTTCCATTTTACTTCATTCCTTCTGATGGATCAGATTCCTCCTCCTCCTATCTCCTTTTTCCTATACCATCACCTTTTCCCTCTTCTCCATCTCCAAGTCCTCCTTCATCTAGTTCACCTTCTTCTGCATCTCCCTATCCTTCCAGACCCTCTTCTTCCCCTTCATCTTCAAGTTCTTCACCTTCTCCATCCAATCCACCTGCTCCACCTACACAGCCTACTTCCTCCCAACCATAATCTCAACCCTTACCCACCAGAAAATTAATCAGACATGTTAAACCACCTTCTCATCTAGTCCAGAATTATCATTGCTATCTTGCTCAACAACCTAGCATCATTGGTCACTCCTCACCGCCTTAGGTTCAAGACACAAGGTTTACTCTTTCTTCTATTCTCTCCTATGATAACCTTGTTGCTCATTATCGTCATTACCCACTTAACATATACTCTCATCAAGATCCTAATACCTACAAATAAGCCTCTCAGACAGAAGAATGGAACAATGTTATGAAACATGAGATTACAAGATTGATTAAAAACAGGACATGGGATGTTGTTGAGCTACCTGCTGGGAAAAGACCATAGGCAACAAATGGGTTTACAAATCCAAGTTTGAGTTTGATGGGACACTAGACAAGAGAAAGGCCAAATTAGTGGCTAAAGGAAACACACAGTATGAAGGGGTGGACTATCAAGATACTTTTGCTCCAGTCATCAAAATGACAACCATAGGGGCATTCTTGGAAATTATAGCTATCGGTAATTGGCACATCCATTAATTGGATGTGAATAATTCTTTTCTCCATGGGGACTTGCAAGAGGAGGTTTACATGACACTTTATAAGGGCTATGATCCTCATCTAGGTTTTTTTAATCCAGTTTGTCGCCTAAGGAAGTCCCTTTATTGTCTAAAACAGGCATCACGCCAGTGGTTTTCCAATCTCACAGACATATTACAGATAGTTGGATACATACAAAGTATGGTTGATCATTCTTTGTTCTACAAAGCTACTGATTCTACCTACACATGTATTCTCATCTATGTCGATGATTTGATTGTTGGAGGAAATGATCTTACCAAAATTCAGTCACTCAAACAGGTTCTTCATTATGCTTTCAGTATCAAGGATTTGGGAGTTCTGAGATTCTTCTTAGGAATTGAAGTTTCCATAAACAAAAAAGGGATTCGTTTGTCACAAAGAAACCACACATTAGGAATTCTTGAAGACGCAAATGTTCTGGATTCTAAATTGGTTTCAACTACTGTGGATTACAAATTGCATCTTACAAGTGATGTTGATACTTCCTATGAATACCCTGAACACTACAAAACCTTAGTTGGGAAGCTCATTTACCTCACCACCACTCAGCCATATATCAGTTTTGCAACCCAACAACTTAGTCAATACATGTCTAATCTCAGTGTTATTCACTACAAGGCTGTCTTGCACATTTTGAGATATCTCAAGATAGCCCCTGCTACTGGTCTTTTTCTCCCAAGCCATGGTTCTCTTCGATTAAAAGCATTCACATATTCATATTGGGTTGCCTATGTTGACACACGCCGCTCAATCATAGGTTATTGTGTTTACCTTGGAGACTCCTTAATCTCCTAGAAGAGCAAAAAACAGAAGGCGATTTCTTGTTCTTTTTGTGAGGCCGAGTATCGCGCTTTAGCTTACACTGCCTGTGAAGTCCAATGGCTTCTTTATCTACTTCGTGATTTTCAGGTTGATCACCCCAAGCCTGCTCTCATATACTGCGACAATCATAGTGCCATCTACATTGCCCAGAATCCAACTTTCAACGAACGCACGAAGCATTGAGTTGCATTGTCACCTCGTGCGAGAGAAACTCCAATCCAGGGTTCTTAAATTTATCCATGTATCTTCCACCCACCAGCTCGCCAATCTATTCACCAAGCCCTGTCACCAACTCCTTTTCTTCAACTTTTCTCGAAGCTTGGTGAGCATAATCTATGCCCACTAGCTTGCGGAGGGGAGAGGAGGGTAACAGAGCTGGCACATTGAAATTTCAATTTATTTGCAACGGATATCCCTCCCTTCGTGATGTTTAGTGGAGAAGACGAGTGGAACACATCGTTTCATTTTTTGCAGCCTTGATTTTCGTTAATACGCACCGTTTGCTTCCCACAGTGTCGTTCTGCTTTTTTGAAGGCTCTATTTCCTTTTCGTTCAAGTCAGTAGTTATTTCCCTTTCAAGTAAACAACAAACATGTACTTGTTAGCAGCTGGCCAATGTTATCTGGTAGTACTAGAACATCCATATATATTGTAATGCTATAATGAAATGAATCATGCTTTTAGGATTTCGTTCCAGATCTGTTGTTAACCATTGCTGCATATCCCACCGGTAAACCTTGTTGGTTCGACAACGTCCCAAATAGAGTCATTGTTGTAATTATAATGAAGGACAACCTAAAACACTTGATCCCGAGGCACCTCTGACTATGGGTCGCCAGCGGTGGGGAGAAGAGACGTCGTCGTATGTTTTCTTTTTTTTTCTTTCTTTTTCAGGCAGAGGACAAAAACGTAGGATCTGTAGGCGTAGAGTATGTTTGTTTTGTAATTTTTATTTTGTTTTAAGAGAACAAGTCATTTCTCATTTTTTTTTTTTTTTTGAAAAGAAATCTGGATATTATTATTTAAACTGGCAAAGTGCCATTACAGTCCCTCTCTAGAACATTGAGGATGAAAATTGGGGGGCTCCCCAGCCACAGCTCAGTTTCTTCCCATCTGCATTTCACCCTTGCCATTTCATGTGCAGCAGCATTTCCCCCTCTTCCCCAAAATCTCCAGCAAACGTCTCCTCTTTCCGAGCACTTCTCTCTAATCTCCTTCACTATAACCCCCAGCTCGGTTTCAATGTTCCCCTGTCGGTCTAGCTTCTGAATCAGCGATTTGCAGTCCGACTCAATTAGGGTTGGTCGAGGAGCGTGAGTCTGCAACAGATCGAGTGCCCAGAGAATTGCATGAGCTTCCGCCATCTCCGGCTCCCAGTCGACTCGCGTCCTCCGTGCCGCCGCCAGGGCCACTCGACCCTCTTCATCACGCACCACCAGTCCCAATCCAGTTCCTCCCTCTTTTAATTTGGATGCATCGACATTTGCCTTTAGGAGGTTCCTCTCAGGTTTCTCCCATCTCACCTCTCGCCGGGGAACTCTCGCCGGACCTTCGACCGCCACACCCAACCGGAATTCGTCCAGGTACGCCTCCGCCCTGGCCATAACTTCATTTTCCTCCATCTTTGGATTGTTAAAGTATTGATTGTTGCGCTCTTTCCATATAAACCATAGAGCCATTACCACCGAACATAACTCGTCGTCTGAAACCTTGCCGATTAAATCACACAGCCATTCCTCACTGGATTTCTCCGCCCCTTCTGCAAATAAAGTACCCAAAGCGCTTGGCCGCCAAATTCTCCCTGCCCAATCGCAATCCCTGAGGATGTGTTCCTGGGTTTCGCGCAATCCACAAAAGGGACATTCGTCGCAGGCCTCTCTGATTCTTTTCGATAGATTTGCTCCTGTGGGTAGAATATTGCTCCCCCATTTCCATAGGAAAACTCGAACTTTCGGTGGAAGCTGTAGCTGCCATAGTCTCTTCCAGTCCACTGGGATGTATCTTTCCCCCAACCCCTCTAGCTTCTTCTTTCTCCAGACATGGTAGCCTGATTTTACCGAGTAATTCCCAAGCTTATCCCACCCCCAGACACGCACATCTGATTCCTGCACTCTTGGAATTGGAATTTGATTGATTCTTCTTCTGTCCTGAGGGTTAAAGTTAGCTTGTAGGACATTGCTCTTCCAACTCCTCGTATTATGATCGATTAGCTCAGCCACTTTTGCTTGTAGACCAAGGTTTGCCACCGGGGATTCCACTTGGAAATTTGGGCTACTTGGAATCCATTTGTCCCACCACACCCTTACCTGTTCTCCATTACCCACTCGCCATCTTAACCCCTCCTTCATCAGGGGTTTAGCAGCCATAATACTTCGCCAGATATAGCTCGGGTTGCTTCCCAGCTCGGCTTCCATGATGTCACAGTGGGGAAAATAGCGCGCTTTAAGAACTCTTGCCACTAGAGTGATGTTTAGAGTGATGTTTAGTCGTGTATTAAAATTAATCCATTTAACATCGTTAACATATGAGCATGGCAGAAAATTAAGAGGTTTGTGCAACAATTCGATTCAGTTTCGAATAGGAAAATCAAAAGAACAAAAAATAAAAGAAATTTGAGTAATGAAAAACTAAAAATATATTGGGATCTCTTACAGTAACTTGGATATTATTTCATGTTAGGTAACTTGCATGAATCCATACATCTAAAATATACTAAAATCAATCTAACTAGATAGTTGATTATGAAAACAGTGGTAACCGACAGTTAGGGGTGAAAATTGGTACGATATCAGTATCCCAATACCAAATACCGAAATCTCGAATACCGAATTACACCCTAAACTCAATCCCAATCCCAATCCTTAAATAATTTCGGTATCCCAATCCCAATCCCTAAGTATTTTGGTATCCCAATCGATACTTCGGTATCCCAATCGCTATTATCGAATACGAAATTAATTATTTTGGCAATTATTAATTAAATATATAAATTAGATTTGATTGTTTAATTTTAGGCAAAGAGACTAAGCGAAGAGATTTGAGTTTGCCTGGAGCTAGGATATGGATAAGGAGAATGGAAGAGACGTGACATTTCAAATTCTTGTCACTAGTAATCTTTAATTTGACGAATTGGAGGCTGAGAGACGACTAATACTAGTGTTTGTCTTTTGGGTGTTATGAAAATAACAAAAGATTAGGCGAGAAACGAGAGTGACATAAACTAGAAAGTCAAAGTTGAGTTGGATATAGACTTCTAAGTTGTGAAAGAGTGAGGAATGATCAAATGTTGTATGCTATATTTCATTAAATTTTCAATTTTTGGTATTTTGGTATATACCGATCCCAATCCCGTTATCTCGAATACCGAATAGCACTCCAAAATGAATCTCATACCCAATCCTAAAAAATAAATCGTTATTTGATAATACCAAATAGTGATAAATTTGGTACGGTATTCGGTATATACCAAATACCGGTACCAAACTTCTAGCCCTACCGGCAGTGCATGTCATGACTCATCACTTATTCACCTTTACAACTGTTACGTAAAATACATATCCATTATGTAAAGATTACAGAATGACAGTTGTTTCTTACATAACAGTTAAATCAGAAGCATTACGTAAGGTTTCCGTAATGACTTAGCACTTTACTTAACGCGAGATGAATATTCATTACGTAAAAGAACCGTCCATTACGTAAGACTTTCGTAATGGCTTAGCACTTCATGTAACCGCACAAAATCATCCTATGTAGAACCTCAATGGAACTCAAATGCGAGAGCTCCGGGACACAAGGACGACACACGTATAGACACGAAGAAAGGATGGGGGTCGTTCTATCAACACCATTAAGCTCACAAGCAAAAAGCTCCTAACATGAGAATGATCGCCAAAGTCACAAGGCTCAAAGGGGCTGACTAGTGGATAAATCATTTCGGGACAATCAACATTTGGGCGTGGACTAATCCTATGCCTCCATCATACTCACTAGTGACAACTGTGGTGTCAATCGCCATGGTAAGAGGGATCTAATCACACAAGAAGAAAAAGATCGGCTCAAATCTCACATGGCTACCTAGTCACCCAACAATCTATTCCAATTCATAAAGCAACATGCATGGCAATTGTAATCAACAAGTAATCGAGTCAAAACATTCATTCATTTTTGCACACATGAGAACTAAACCTTTGCACTATCCTAATGCACCTGTCAGTCATCGGACATACTCGATCACATGGAACAATTCAAGGTCAATGCCAATAATCACAAGATTCTCCTACAAACCAGCAACTTTGATCATGCAAACATTGCTTGGAGCCCTCAAATTTTCAAATGTGGGCATATATCAAGGCTCCAAGCATCAATGACACGCCACTGGGGCTGGAGTGCGGATCCCACTATGAGGGCCGACCTAAACTTTGTCCTTCGGTGCTATAGAAGGCAAAAAATTCGAAATGTGGCATTCATGGGGCAACTTTAGATGGCGTCTTCCTCCCATTCTTTGTCATGCCTGGCTTCAACTCCTAAGGCTCTGGCTAACCCGTCGTAGCTCATTGAACGACATTCCCCCCCCCCCCACCCAACATGAACTCGACCTCGTGCACTGGATGGTTGAGGAGGGTTTTGGTCTTGAGGAGGGTGAAGGTACTGAAAAACTTGACGCACAGTTCCCCGTAAATGTCATCTTCGAGATCAAGGAGTTGGCAAATTGTGGGTGTGCCACTGCCTCCCTCATAGCATCACCACAATGAAGCATATCGAATTATGTGAAGTCGAGCTTCCAATGGTAATCGGAGATCGCAGTTGCCCAAAAACACAATTTCTTTTCCATATCGGGCGACCTCTTAGGACCACAAGGAACGGGTGTCTCATGTTAACCATCCTGAAAAATTTGACAAACAAACACCATACGTGGAAACATTCGTTAAGAACCACTCATTGGGAGGAAAAAGAAATCCCCCCCACACTTATCTCCAATATGGATTTCAAACATTTAAGCTCAACACACCATGGCATGGTTGTGGCTAATTCACGGTTCATCTACACAAAAGATTTGTACCCCAACCCATGCCCCGGGGGCTACCAACCAACATTCTAGCATAACAATGCATCTTCATTCAAAAAAATAGCACCTAGTGGGCAAGATCTACAAATGCAAGCAATTCGAATCAACAAATGCCCACCAAGGCTCACTAGGCTCATACAAAGTCAATCATCTATTCAATCATCCTAATTCACCTAATTCCTCGCCCTAATTCTAAATTCAACAGTCAAGGCACTAAAATTCTCCTCACTTCACTTCCTAATCCGATTCTCCCAAAATAAATAAGTTAGAGCTGGAAAACCCTGGAGACACAGGTAGGACGTACGAGGAAAGGAGGCGAGGGCGACGAAGGCGAAAAACAACCTTAAAACAATCCGGAGAAGGGTCGCCGAAACTTCTTCAGAAGCTCGCCGGACTCTCGTTGGAGGATCACCGGCGACGACTACGCCAGGAATTTTTTGCCCACATCTCCCCAAAATCAAGGTTTGTTTTGGGTCTGAGGTTTGTTTTGGGTGTTGTTCGCCGGAAGGGTGTGAAAAGGCCTGAAAACCGTTGGAGAATAGCGGTTTTCCAGCGAGATTTGAATTTTCCGGCGAGTTTTGGGTCGTGAAGTGAAGGGCCAACTCTCACTCCCCTTTTATAGACGATGTGGCAATTCACGGACGCGTTTGCCAGTTCACGGTAGTTAAGACCGCGAACACAACAATGCGGCCGTGAATTGTGGCTGGCCGTAATACGCCCCTGGGGGGGTGTATATTATCAAAAGTCACGCAACTAACGACTCAATCGAAGAATCGATTGAGCTCTAATCAAGAACAAAGCGTTCTTAATACGAACTTTGATCAAACGGAACCAAAAGGATGATTCCACCCCTGGGGAATGCTCGATTGGTATAGAATGGTAGTTGCTCGACCACGATTGAAGTGACTATTCAATCGATACAAAAAGCTCAGCAAGTTTGGAATCCACCAAACCCAAAACAAGTTCGCAAACTTGCAAAACCAAACGGTTTCTTTTCTATTCAATCAACTCTAAATTTTACAACGAAATAGAGCGGTATTTAAAGGAAAATAAAACCTAATACAACCCTATTAGAACTAGAAAACAATTAAGTTAAAATTCTACACCAAAAAGGACACAAAATTTGGGTTTAAACTCCTTTTCTTCAAGCGCAAGTAAGCTGGCAGCAAACAGTCCAAAAGCAGTTTTCGTACTAACTTCGCGCCTTTCGTTCGAGGCCTTCCAGAACTCCAATATTTCATCTGATTCCTTCCCTTGGTAGATAAACATACCTAGTTTCATGTTGTGGAAGCCTTTGGACTTGAATCAGATCCATACTCCTCGAATTAAGCTCCAAAGTAGGCTTCACAAAACAGTTTTCTGCCTTTGTCATTTTCTGGCAGTTTTCCAGTTTTGAGGTAGCAACTTTGAAGCCTTGGAAAACAGCCTTAATCACATCTTCTGGATCCACAAAGCATACCATTGGAAACATGGCAACTTTGTCTGTAAAACAAACCCTTAAGCTGGAATTTTCACTGAGCCAATTGAGAGAACCATGCCTCCAAAGTATGTACCCTGAACACGGATTTTGACTTAGTCAGATTCTGCCCTTCTTCTTTCCAACTTCTCTAGCTTCTTCGTCAAGTAGTTTAAACATGTATAGTTGACCATTTGGGATCATATCAGGCCGACAACTGGCAAGCTCGTTGAAGCGCCCTGTTCATTGACGCGTTTGCCTGTTCACGGTCTTGTAAGACCGTGAACTGGGCAATCCGTCCGTGAACCTCAGCTAAAATAGGGCAATTCTGAATAATTTTTACTCGACCTAATCCACCATGCCATCTATCGATCACGACACAACCTTAAAACGCAAAACCACAAAACGTGGCACGGGGACACCACTCGATCACTAGAACTGCTTACTCGACACACAAAAAAAAAATTAAGGAAAAGAAAACAAACCTACGTTGGGTTGCCTCCCAACAAGCGCTAAGTTAACATCACTAGCTTGACGTTGTGGATCTATCATGTTTTGAAACATGATGCCACCGAGAGTGGATCCGCCACGTTCTCGGGGCGAGGCATGTAGCCTCCCAACTTAAGCTCCATGAGGTGGCCTTCTTGGCCGACGACCTTAGTGTTGCCCTTTTTCTTCCTTCGGGCCAAAACTTACTTCATCTTTTCCCTCCAAGCTTTCTTCTTCCTTTCTTTGAGCATAGTACCCTCCTTAACTTCCAGCTTAACATCATCACAAGCAACAAAAGTAATAGTGAGGTTCGCCTTGAGAGGCTCTCCTCCACTCACATTCAAGTCATCAGATACCAACTCCTTCACATCCTCACTTCTAGCCTTAGGTTCAATTTCAAGAGTGATCCTCTCCTCGCCATCCCTCAGAATCAAGGTCCCCTTATTAACATCAATTAACGCCTTGGCGGTTACAAGGAAGGGACGTCCTAGTATGAGTAGCATATTTGACTCCTCACTTATATCAAGGACACAAAATCCATCGGATAGCAAAACTTGCCCAATCGTACTAACATGTCCTCCACGATACCCCTAGGATCAATGGTTGAGCGGTTGACTAATGTGACACTAAGCTTAGTGGTCTTGAGTTCACCTAGGTCTAGCCTTTTGAAAAGCTTATAGGGCATCACATTGACATTTGCTCCTAAATCCGCCAAGGCATTTCTATGTGATGGTTACCAATACTAAGAGGGATAGTGAAGCTACCTGGATCGGGTCGCTTCTTGGGCAGCCGGTTAAGGATGAAGGTCGAGCACTCCTCGCTTAGAGTCACGTTGTCGAGGTCTTCGAACTTTGGTTTCTTGGTGAGGAATCCTTTGAGTTACTTTGCGTACCTTGGCATGTGAGCCATAGCTTCAAGGAAGGGGATGTTGAGGTGGAGTTTTCGGAGCATCTACATGAAGCCTCCACATTCCGCTTCCAACCTCTCCTTGTACTCGGCCACTAGAGATGGCGTCGGTGATGCCTTCCTTGCCACTTCTTTCTCTCCCTTCGAGGGCTCTTCATCTCCATCCTTGGGGTTGGAGTATTCCTTCTCAATCACTTCCTTAACAACAACTCCCGGAGTCTCCTTCCCGCTCCTCAAGTAAATCGCATTGCACCCAGCTTGGTCTTTGGGGTTCGCAATGGTTTGAGAGGGTATGGCTCCCTTTGGTCTCTCAGTGAGGATCCCGGCAAGATTGCCGATTTGCACCTCCAAATTTGGAAGGCTTGCTTGATGGCTTTGGAGTCCCACCTCAATCGAGGTAAACTAGGTAGTCGCCACATCCATAAATTGCTCAATCTTCTCGAACTTCTGAGCACTCGTGCTCACAAAGGTATTCACAAGGTCTTCAATTTTGGACAGCTTGTCGGGTTTTTGTTGTTATTGGAACCCTTGACCACCTTGTACTTGGTAAGGTTGTTGGAATTTCGAGCTTTGGAATTGAGGCCTTTGTTGGATGAAAGTTGGCCGAGGTTGATAATTGCCGGTAAGGCCTTGGAAACTGGGGGGTGGGGTCTCGGATTAGTCGGGGACGACCAAGCAAAGTTAGGATGATTTCTCCACCCGGGGTTGTAAGTATTGCTATATGGGTTGTTTTCCGTAGCATTGGCAACGAAATTGACTTGTTCCTCGAGGTACTCGACTCCTTAATTGTTTGGAAATCCGCAATTTTGTGATTGGTGCTCGAACACCAATCGCACGGCATCAACACTCTCTTCCCTTGCTTCTTATCCTCAAGAATTACCTCGATCAACTTGTCAAGCTTCACTTCAAGTGGAGCACTTGCTCCCACACTTCTTACTCCTCTTTCATTGCTTCTCTTCCCACTTCTCGTCAAGCACCAATCATATCCATTAAGAGACATATCTTTGAGCATCTGGGTCACTTGAGGTGGGTTCATGTTCATCAACCGTCCTTGGCAAAGAGATTCAATGATGATCTTGTCTTCCTGTATAAGTTCATCGTAGAAAGTTTCTATCCGAAATTGTTCCTCGTACCAATGGTGAGGTCATTGAATAAAATAGTCGGAGAATCTTTCCCAAGCATCTCTCAAGGTCTCATCTTCATCTTTCTCGAAATGGGTTATCTTCTTTCTCCACTTGGCTGTCTTCCATGGCGGGCAATAGCGGGTCATGAATTTGTTGAGAAGATCATCCCACGAGGTAATTGAACGAGGCTGTCGTTTGTTGAGCCATCGAAGTGCCTTCCCTGAACGTGAGTATGGGAAAATCCTTAATTGCAAAGCTTCCGCCGGCACGCCATTTATCTTCAAACTCCCCGCGAGCTCAAGAAATCTTTGCACATGCTCCCTCGGTTATTCGCTTGTGTGCCCGTGGAACAAAGCCTTGTTCTGAATAATTGTCACGAGGGCCGGCTTGATTTCAAAGTTGTTGGCTGCCACGGGTGGTTGTAAGATAGGAGATTGAATGTCCGTCGGCCGTGGGGCCATGTAATACCCCATTTTCCTTGGGGCTTCCTCCTCTGTCGCCTCATCATTTTGGTTGTGAGCTTGGGCAGCTCCTCCTTCTCTTTGGTTCTCTGCCATCTCAACTCCAATATCAACTTCACTTACAACTCCTTCAACTTCTACTCCACTAACCCTGGGACACAATTGTTGTCCCCTTCATTCACTTCTCCTTCTTGCTTCCGCTAACTCCCTCTCCCGAGCTAGGAGTCGAAGAGTCCTGTTGATGTTCTCATCAAGCGGTACTAAAGGCTTCAGATTGCTCCCAGTCATGCACCTCCATGCACACACTTAGAGAACAACACCACGTCTAGCACAAGCAACACACTCACACAATCAGAGTTGAAAAAATAAAAGCTAGATTTACACCAAACAACTTTTTCAAGATAACGAACCGAAGATCCCCGGCAACGGCGCCAAAAAACTTGACTCGTCCTGAATATCACAACAAATTCGCAACTAAGGCCCAACTGTAAACCTTAGATGGGTGCAATACAGGGCAAGTATGTTTAAATATCAACCTGGGCCGGTCCATGTACCGCTACTTCCATTGTTTGAAACATTATCTAGCGAATTGATTTTTGGTTGAAACTATTTTAAATTAAAAAACAAAGGTAAATAGTTTGAAAGCTCTATATGAGAAGGATCATTATAGGCTACTAGAGTAGCCCTCTTGGTTAAGGTAATTGAGGGTTGACTTACCTTCTCCCTCAAACCGATAGTTGAACGGCTTAATCATGATTAACCTAGTCGATTAATTCAAGATAGAGGTTTGCCCTACATTAACCTAGGTAGATGGCTTGAAAAGCCCAAGGAATCCCAACTCAATTGAGCCTCTTTTGGAAAGAGGGGTTTCCCCTCTAACCTAGGTTAGAATGGCCAATTAGATTGTTAAGCACAAACATGCACAATCATCATGAAAAATACCCCAATCATTAAATTAAACAACACCCATAAACCATCATTCAATTCACACTACAACTACATGGCAAATAGTTAGGGTGCCACAATACCCAAGTGAAAAAGGTAACTACTCCATGCTAGAAAGGGGAAGAACACAAAAGAAAGAAGTAGAAACCATCATGGTGATGTCTCCACTCTCCTATGATCTTGTGTTGATCTTCTCTTGAGGATATTCTTCCCACTTCACCACTTGGAGCAAACCCTAGCCTCCTTTCTCCTTTGGTTCATCCTTTCTCTCTCTAAAATCTTAAGAAGAATGTGCTTTCTCACTCTTGGGCTCCCCTTCTCTCTTCCTTTCAGCTCACGTTTTATACTGGGATCGGGCTCAGTTCACGGCCGTGAACTTGGAGTGTTGTGTCGAAACACACCACTTCACTCACTTGAGTTCACGGCTTTCACACAAAGTTCACGGTCTTAGTGACCGTGAACTCACTCGGCGTCAGTAACTTCAGAATTCTCCCTGGAAGCTTCGCGGTTCATGGTTTATAGGGGTACACGGTTCATAGTATTCAACCATAAACCAATTCGATAGATAATGATTAAAACAACGGAAATAGGGGTACACGGGTCGGCCCGGGTTAATATTTAAGCATACTTGCCCTATATTGCACCCATCTAAGGTTTATACTTGGGCCTTAGGTGGGAATTTATTGTGATATTCGGGACGAGTCAAAATCTTACCCAAAAAATC